TATGAACACCGGCTTCTCTATAACACAAGGAATCACAAATTATGGATCGGTCACGGAAACAGGAATTGCGTACATTGGCATACATTTGTCCAGTTTAACACATATGTTCATCTTACTACTTCACTAACCGTTTATTTACCTTTTTAGCCGACTCTTGACAATTTCGTGAAGTCGGTTCTTTTTATTTACCAAGCGAATTACAGTACTGTCATTTATTTGTTCCTTCTCCCTGTCGTGTATTTTAACCTTTGTTCAGATCTCTTTTGGCCACATTTTGTGTTCTTCAGTCCTTCTCACCAGAGCTTTTATTAAGTGATTTCGATTAAAGACTTACTTTCTGTTACCTAGTTTTCTGTTGCATATTGCCAGACTATTGACAGTAAGGTCGTGGTTCGATATGCGACCGTTAACCTTTGACCATCTGCTTTTGAAGATTGCTGGAATCCCTGCAGATAGATATCCGATCTCATCTTGTTGGAAATATTTTCATTGATTCTCAGGTATTGAACTTGTTTGTATTAACTGTCTGTTTTGCTGTTTAGCACGCTAATATGTGTTAGAGAAACTTTTTACTGCACAGCACAGGTTGTACCGTTTGAAATATATTGTATTTTGATATAATTTGTTCTATCTCTTAAATTAGAACCGTTTAACTTGAGTTCGATATAATTTAATACGAGTAACTCAAAAACGCTTCGTGCGCTATACAAAAGAACGTAGTCTGGTCTAGTCGAGTAAATTCTGGCCCGTTAGTTCTACTTTGAAACCGAGTATTGGCAGATCGGTCGTTACAGTTCTCAAACGAACAGAAATCACGAGTGACAAACACTAGAATGCCTGGCAAGCGCCATAAGATAAACGAAAACCTGGTGTCTGGCCAAGAGAAAATGCAATCAGATGCGCCTCCAGATGTACGGCAAGTCCCTTCAGATGCATTTTCATGTCACGGCTCTAATGTTGGTTTAGTAAGTCGACATAGTAAAATAAGTTCTAGGATCACCTTAGCAGAGTTAAACTACAGTTGAGGGTAGAGCAATTATTAGAAGTTAGAGACTTGAAAGATAGGCAAAGGAAACAACTATTATGCCTTCAGGTAGTGTTCGGGTCGCTTAGGCTAAAAGAGAACATGTGTAGTAAAGTATCTTCTGCCTCCAATTGTGATGATAGAGGACAGGAGTATGTTCACAGTTTCGTAAGCCGTCTTCATGACTTTAGAATCAAGTCCCCAGAAAAGTCAAAACTGTTGGTCTATCCAGAAAAAAAGAAAAGTGGAGTAACCTTGTCATCTCTTAGTGTGAGTCTTGAGCTCCCAAATGTAGAACTACGTAGTTTTGATTGTCAACTAGCAAAATACTGGAAATTTATCAGATAGTTAGAGTTATATGTGGTATCCAAGGTCGAAGACCATAGTCAAGGGCTCTTGTTCTCGTTACATTATTGCAAAAGAAAGGCTCGAGAGGCCATAGAAGAGTGCGTAATGCTTCCACCATCATCGGGTTATCGTTGAGCATGCGATATACTGAAACGGTTGTTTGGTAGAACACACGAAGTAAGCCGTTATATATAATATACCCAGGGAAATTTTACATTGGTTTTCAGGGGAACCAGACACCACCCGGGCTTTCACGTAAAAACCCAAACAGTACAGCTCAACCCCGTTTAGCAGGGGAACCAGCAACTGTACAGGCTTTAACGCTACAATCTGAATAGTACAGCTCAATCCTGTGGCGCAACCACGCAGGTACCAAGCACCCTGGTGGACCAGAAGTAAGCCGGGATTTGCTAAATGATTTGACTGAATGTTCCAATATAGAGCACAATGACGGAGAGAGTGTTTCTAGGTTAGCAATAAAGATGGATACTCGTTCTATAGCGCTAGAATAAATGGATGTTTCGGTGGATCTCGACTCTGTAGGAATTATGGAAAGCATAGTAAAGAAGTTATGGATGAAATGGGCCCAAACAGTCAAAAAGTTAACAGCAAATGGAAGAGAGCCTACTTTTGCCGAGTTAGTAGAATTTGTATCATCTAGAGCAGAAATTTTACACAGCAGATTCGGGCAGATTGCAACAACTAGTAAACGGGTTATAAGCAAGGTAGCCTGTTCCACACAAGGGTTGTCGTGAGGTAAAATCGTTAGCAAGTCAAATTGTGCTATAAGCAGGGGAAATCATATGATTGATAAATGTTCCCAATTCTTCACATTAGCAGTCAACGACGGGTGAGCGAATGCGAGAGAAAAAGGTCCGTGTTTTTGTTGTCTCAGAAGGGTCCACAGGTCAGTGGATTGTAAAAATCGTGTCGTGTTCACTATAAAAAGGCCGCCGGGATCTGTATAACCGATTGTTGCACAAACCCATCCAAGTTCATGGTGGCTCGAGTAAGCGGTTAAAAGAAAGTCATTGTGGGTACACAGAGTCACCAAAAGAGGATGTGTTTCTTAGTTTAACCCCTTTACTTACTTACGCCTGTTACTCCTCGTGAAGAAGCATAGGCCTCTCACCAGCATTCTCCATCCAACCCTGTCCTAGGCAATCCTTTCCAGCTCCTTCCAGTTGTCATTCATCCTTTTCATATCTGCTTCTATTATCCGACGTAATGTGTTCTTTGGCCTTCCTCTTTTTCACCTTCCCTTCAGGATTCCAAGTTAGGGCTTGTCTCGTGATGCGGTTTGACGATTTATCACTGAACTCGTTTAAAATAAATCAATTCAACATAAAGACTGTAGTGTCAGTTATTATGCCAAGCCTATATACCTTATTCGAGCTTTCGGACATCCCATTCTATTCATTTTATTTGAGCCATACATTGACCTTGTTATTTATTCGCTTATCAATCTAGACTGTTTTTATATGAGCGTATATGTGTGTGCCCTTCTTATTCCATTAATCACATGTCTGTAGCTTTATTTTGTCTGACTATAAATATTGAGTCACACTTGACAAAGATGGAGTTGGCTTCCCAGCCATCCCCCCCCGCGCGTCATTTCGCTTTGTTCTATCGCATTCACTTTACATACAAAATATATGTATTCAATGGTCATTCTCGTTAATTGACTTATTTAATTCGGTTATTGGCTAACGCGATTTAAGTCGACGATGATAAACGAGAATCAGCGATAACAAACATCTATACGATCTTGGAGTCAGATCAAACGGCCACAAAAAGACAAACACACCTTCCTAATATCACTAGACTTTTTATTGAGAAGTCTACTAACATTGTAGTGACCTATTTTTATGACGAGAACGAGATTGGTATAATGGAAGTAATTATTATTATAACCTACTGTACCAGTGATTGTTATACTGTACCTTGTTGTTTACGTGTACCAAAAAACACTCGTTTGTTTGTGACCTTGCGCGAACTCTCGTACGCTCAGTAGTCTCGCTTGTAAATTGTGACACAATCTCGTTATTATTTCGATACCACGAGATCGCCAAAAACCACATCTTAACTACAGCTTTCTGATATTTGGCCTATGGAGATGTCTAACCCGATAACTGGCACGTAGTCGATCTGTATTGGTGACCAAAGTCAACCGCGACTCGACGCCGACTACAACATACTAAGATCTCATACGGCAGAGCTTAACGACTAAGTTATGGGTCTTACCATAAGATATAATTAATTTTCATCTATGAATTTTCTATCATTTCGTCTTATATACAATATATATTAACTGATAATTATTCAAAGACCTGATTTTTAGCTTTAAATATCGATTTTGGGAACATTTCAATACATAACAACACAATATTGTGTATCCATGCCTTACATAGATATGCACGAAATCATATTATTTTTACGCCACCTGAATGCCATTTCAGCTCAAACCAAAGTGAATGAGCCTTGTCGAAATCCCAGTCCAGAAAATTTGTCTGTTAAGGAAGAATAAACAGGAAACGCCAAGTCAACTGCTTCTTCGAATATAATACCTCTCCATGTTATTAGTTTATTCCCTCTCTGCAGTCCCCATCACTGTCATTCTCTGAACATAACTTACTACCAGCTCTGATAACGGCGAAACCAAACTAGTGAATTTCATTTCATTAATTTATTTAGTCTTTTCATAACGAGGTTACAAGCATTAAATAACTGGGGTTCGCTTCAGTTTAACCACAATTTCTACGTATAGACCAAATGACAAGAAGTATGACAAACATTTATGAAGAAGCCTACATTCTATAACTCAGATTCGAAATTCACCCTTGTTACTTAATTACATTGAGTTCCTGTTTAATGTGTTTCATAATACAAAATATATTTACACAGCTATTATCGCCTACCTCCTTCCAATTTCTCAACCACCTTCCTACTACTTACGAAAGCAAAATTTTGTACTCTGCGCAAATGTTCCTGCCAAGTTGTATCAGTGATCAACCCCCCATTGACGTTTATGATTACCAACGATTAGGATTTCTAAAACAACAGTATCTACTTAATCATATTGTCAGTATTCTCTGGGTAACTGATTAAACAACCGCTAAGTCCCAAGTAACCCCTCTTTTGATGTACAATGCGCTACGGTTATAAATCGTTGAACCAATTACTTTCTATTATGTACCTTTTACCATTTTTGAGTACTATCTGACCACTTTTAAATAAACAAAACATTTGATTACATTCTGATAGTGTACTACACTTCAAAAATACTCTAAAAATGTCATACTAATGATAGACATATGGTACCAAAGACTAACTGTTTGTTTTGCAAACTTTTTCTGGATGACATCAGTTGTAAGTCAGGCTGATAAAACTACTTTTGAGTTGCATTACTAATGGATTTCTTTTTCGACACAGTAGTATTGACATTTATCTAGCGAAACAAGACTTAAGATAGAAGGGCCACATAAAAGGTTCATTTACAATAGAAAATTGAAGGATTGAGTATCTCCGGTCAAATTTTTTTATTTATAATAAAATGATTTATTTACAATCTGCAAATGACTTAAGCATAAAGTATAATTTAGTGTACTGTTCCTGATTTGTTATATACTTCATAATCAAATACTTCATTCTGTTGTTCATCAAAATATAAACCGATATAGTCCAACTCCAAACTAAACGGTCCCTCAATATCATCCATTAAAGTAAATGAAAGAAGACGCATAGTTCCTAGATTCGCAGGAAATTGTCTATTATGTATAATATTTGAACTAGTATGATAAAATTTAGATAATGGGATTTTAGCTATTTGCCAATATGGTCCACCTCGAGTGTACAATGTAAACTGGTGTGTATTAAAACGGTTAAAATCCCATCGTGCACGAGGTAGCACAACAATTTGATATTTTCGACCATCTCCACGATATCTAAAATGGGATGTTTGAAAAAGCTGCAAGGTATTCTAATTTAAAATGTATGAAAAGAAAAAATTCAACGTAATGATGATAATATAAGAGTCAACAAACTATCCTATTCGTTAAAACATTGCTAGTTTTCTCCATAATTAAACAACTGACCGATCAATAGTACTTTAACGCCTGTCAATCAGACTCAACATGATCTTGATAATTCTTGTACCTGTTTGATTTTCAGTCAATGAACATAATAATAAGCCTAGGAGTTACTTATAATCCGTTCATCACGACTTTTACTACAGTTAAATACGTGAGTTTTGCATAGTATTATTATTATTAGGTCACAGTTCCTTTCTTCATCTTTTACTAAGTAGAAACGTTTACGTAGACAATACCACAGTTAAAAAAATCAGTGGAACACTGATATATGGGTGAAGAAGGTCCTGGGTTCAAATCTCACGTGAGGGATTGTGGATGCGCAATGTCCACTAGTCCTATACGAGAAAGAAATGGCTGTCCAGTGCTTCTAAGATTTCAGTGGTGGTCTAACATTGATCGAGTCATGATCTCAATAAAAAATCCTTTGTATTATTTAAACTTGGATTAATTGTGGTTTGATTATTTATCCTCTAAAGAAGTGGCTTACACTGAGTCAGGAAATGTCAGAAAATTTAATTTTTCTACTCATTGGGATATTACAGATATATCAACTTATTTACATTATATATTAGTTATTTTTAATTTTAACAAAAGTTAACAAAAACATTTTCCATGCAAATGATACAAAATTTGACTATTAGATTGTGGTTATTTATTTAAATCAGAAGTGTTGAACGTTTAAAATAAAACATAAAGTATAAATGTTATCATCAGTAATTCCATTATATATATATAGTGAACGAGAACTCGTGTGGAGAAAACTAATCTATTATTATGTGCAAAATCACACAGTGCATCTGTAAAATGTGAAAGTCATACATTAAATACATTATTTGCGCATCTTTCTTCAGTTGTCTTGTAAATACTTCTCCATTCTTTAAATTCGGTTTTTATTCCCATTCTTCTTTGTTTCCTTTTCTATTCTATTCAATTCAACCTTCTCAATCTTCTGCTGGCAGGTATTTTACCTCCTACTGGTGCTACATACTACTTATATCTGTCAACACAAGTAGCCTACACCACATATAATATTTATATACTACTTAGTTGGTTTCTTCACCACTTTTAATGGATTTCTTCTCTATGCACCTAAAATCCTTCAATCATCTTTACTATGGAACAAAACTGTACTGTTTTTATTTTAATGTTGAAAAAGCAAAGCTAAGCAGGCTACTGAATGTTGTGTATTATTGGATCCGTCTGCAGGATATTACAGAGCCCATGAAATTGTGAAGCGACTAATTCGAAGGGCAAATGTTGTGGCTCGTCAGATGATTGATAATCTGGTCGAGAGAAACAACTTAAATTATAACGATCGGGAGGCTTTCTTCCATTTAGTTATTGGGACCGAAAACTGTGTTATCAAGCCGGAAGTACACCTCAGATTTAAATTGTTTAGAAGGAGTAGCGAAGCCTTTGACATTCTAAATGCAAGATAAATGGGCTGAGACAGTTGGTGAGATGACAGACAGTGAAAGGTCACTTTCCCTAAATTGAATAAGTTTATTTCGTCACAATCTATAGTCACTAAAAGCCGCTTCGTAAATGAGAGTTAATCATAATCAAGAAAACTATTTTCAAGGATTTTGGACAAAAGTTAGAAATCAATAGCTTTTGCCTTTCTTTGATCACATAATATATGCAATAGAAATGCCTTCATAAGGTCTTCAAAACATTTAAACGTTTTCAGACAATTCCTTTTCGTCATCAAAGCGTAATAATAACGATATCAAGAGTGTCCATTTTTCACTTTGTCATTCACAGATTTCATACAACGTCGAATCAATCAGTTTTGAGTAATACTAATTTATTTATGGTAAACTGTCAAAGAAAATGTTTAATGAGTGATTCACTAAATAATGGGCGAACCGGTGAAGTAGAAATGCTACATTAAATAATGATTTTTATAAGTGAATTCCTCGTATCAATGTGGTGATAATGATTCCATCTCCCTTCCTTCTCAGAAAATTAATTAATAAAGATTTTGTAGACAATCATTAATTTTTTTTATGGCTATGTGAGAGATTCAAAAATAAAACACTGATGAGAATAAATTCCTACTCAAATAAACTTCGTTATATAGCCATATTTCTGAACAATATTAAGATCGGGAAGTTGTTAATAAGCCATAAATAAACCAATGAAATTCATAACACTTGGTTTCTACGAACTACCTGTTGAATGACTGAAAAGGAACTTCGAAAGAAATCAAATGGTCATTTCAAGGATAGCTGAAGTTCGGCTATGTACAGTCTATTACCCGTTTGGTTTAATTTATAGGTGGTTTCTTCATAATGAATTGACAAAAATTGCGGTATCATAAAAAAATTAAATGAATTAGACAACTATCTTCAGTCCTACCACAAAACTCTTCAATTTTCTAGAGTATAGCTCCCTTTGTTTTTATTGATAACCCATCTTATGTCACAATTTGTGACAAAAACTGTTGGCATTATTCTTTCATATTACTTGACATGCATACATACTGAAATATATATGAACACGTACCTGATAATTAAATGTGAGTAAGCTTCAAAACCATAAGGCATAGCACATCCAAATAAGTTACTTTCTGGACTGCGGAGATTTGCAAAACCTGCGCGAACTAGATCACCTCGTTTAGGCACACGTGTACTAATGAAACCACGAAAATGACCGTAACCTTTAAACTTTGGATCAGAGGATGTCATGACAATAGCTGCCGAACTCGCCTGTTTACCACCAGGTCGATATAAGAATTTTGGACTGAAGATAAATGGTACCACCAATAGATTCAAGATATATATATATTAAATAAATACAGGGTAAAGAATATATATTTAGGATAATGGTTACTAATTTATTTACATTAGGATTAGTCTTCTTTTACCAATTTTCCTGTGTTCTATGATTAAAAACAGTAATTTTAACATTTTAGCTTTCATTATTAATCAAAACAGAATCGAAAAATATAATCATGAAACTATAAGACTTTTGTAATACAACATGAAGCGCTGTTGTAATTGGGGTATATATTTGGGACACTTGTAGATAATCAGGGTAGATTGGTTCATACAAACAACTAAACCTATCAATTGAAATTTATAAAAAAATCATATTGATAATTCAGAAGAAAATGTTCCATAAGATAGCTTGAAGCTTTTAGTAGTTTGGAGAAGTGTAGTTGAAAATCTTAGATATACTGTTACGAATAACATTGACCACAGTGGAAGCTGTAATGCATGAGTTCCTATAGTATTTTGTATATGAAAAATTTAGAAATTATGAAAATTTTAAGTCGATAGTGTTTATCGTATAATATTTATTCATAGTGCTACATAATAGTAATAGTTCTATTCAATGTTTTAGTGTTAAGTACTGCTTACGATAGTCACACGGACCCCAAACAAGCAGTATATATCAATCAATATGGCTCAGACCAGAAGCTAGTGACTTCAAGGACTGATGACACGTTTTCGTTTAGCCGCCCCTAACTTTCTTCCAAACATCTCCAACACCAGTCAGCATTGCGCGTCATAGTAATCGGTGGTTGGGCTGCGTGGCCCATTATTGCTTAGTGCTACCAAAAGACTGCATTTTATGAGCCTCTTCACCAAACAGGACTATGTCATCTGAGTATTCTAAGTCGATAAGTGAACCTCCTGAAAGGAGATCAATTCCCGAAAATTCAGTCGACGAGAACGTTCTTCCCAGCAGTAGGTCTATGATCGAATTGAACAAAATGGAGATTGTGGATAGTCCTGACGTACACCATTTGAGTTGCAAAATCAGATGATAGTTCGCCATAAGCTCTGACTCGACTGTTAGTGTTCGAGTAAAGAGCCCTCGCGACGTTGATGTACTTCTGAAGTACACCCTTCAATGACAGATACCTAAAACTGGACCACAATACTTTAAGACTTCTGTAGGTAATCCATTGAACCAGTTGCTCTTCCTCGTTTCAGATTAGCCATAGCTATTTGAACTTCAATTAGAGTCGAGGGTCTATTTGAATGTTCCATTCAGGCTATTTGGGAATGGTGGGTAGCTGTAGAGTAGTTGAAGGCCGGCTGAACTGCTCCTTGAAGTGTTCCGTCCATCGTTCTAAACGTCTGGACTGATAGAAGGTAGGAGTGTCGTCTTCTGAGATCGTCCCACTTACACATGACTTCCTAATTCCAGTTTCTTTTATTAGTCTGAAAAGCTGTATTGTGTTACCTACAACCGCTGCCTTTTCCATAACTCACGGTCGTTCTTAAACTTCTGGTTAGCCTAGATCTGATTTTTTTTCCTTCATTATCGTGCTTAGAGCCTGATAGGATAAGTTTACGAGAGTCTACCACTGAAATAGATGTCGCAGAAATCCACTGGTTTTTCATAATCCTTTGGTTCAAATCACTAATGGATATGGCTGTTTCCACAACTGTTCGTATATCTTTCCAAGCAACATCTGGGTTAGCCCCGTTTTCAGAACTGCCAAAGTGTGACCTCAGTTGTTCCTGGAATCTACTTTTGACTTCCTCGTCACTGAGTTCGACTCTAATAGCTCTTCTTAATGTGGTTTTTCTGCATCCAGTGAGGCGCAAGTAAATGTGTGCTCGTATTAGAGCATGATTGGTGTCCAAACAGGTATTCCAGAACCAGCAACAGCCTTCTATCGAGTCTCTCCAATGATGACTGATGAGAATATAGTCTATTTGAGTTCATCGTTGGTTTGGTGCAGGGGTTCGCCATGTTTGGCGATGTCTCTCCTTAAGCTTAAAGTTAGTGCTTGCTAAAAATAAACGATCGTCTGAGCACACTTGCAGCAGACGGCCACCATTATCTGCTCTCTCAGCCGGAATACTAAAATACCCACCTAAATGTCTTTCTGTTTGATTTAAGCTACTTACTTGGGCGTTAAAGCCGCCTACTACGAGTACTATGTTAGAGTGTTTAGCATTTTAAAGAAGTTTAGAAAGCTTTATGTAAAATTCATCTTTCACTTTATCCGCGGAAAAGGCAACAACGTGTGTCCCTATACTACCAAGTTCTTACGAAACCGTTTAGCCGAACAGCATAAAGGCAACTTTTAACAGGGATCCATTCTAAAAGTGCTTGTTCTGGCCTCATACTTAGTGCTATGCCTACGCCTAACAGTCCACGAGAATTTGCCGTCAGGTACACCTCTTGACTAGGTGAGGTCAAGTGAATAACCACACTAGGATCCCGTGTGCGTGTTTCGGAGATGCAGCATACATCAATGGTATGAGATCCCAGGATCTTAGCAAAGGATACCTGCTGACCGATTTGACAAAGGGTGCGTACGTTGAAGGCTCCAATGTGTAGTTTGGGGCGAGGTTTCAGTAGACCTAGGATAGTGTTTCGCGCACTAGAATCGTTGGCTATGGTGACACTTGAGGAGGAAGTCAAAGAAAGAAGTTGATAGTTGATAGTCGAGGTAGGAGGAATAATAAGATTTGAAGGGAGAAACTGATTGTGAATACAGTGATCTTGAGTGCTGTTAAAGATATGATAGCGGTTATCACTTCCTGGTTGTCCACACCGTGGAATGATTCTTCTAAAGGTACCCGAAAAGGAAATCGGGTTAGAGGTGGTCTCAGTGACCTGACAGAGTGATCGCAGTGCCTAAGGAACAACACACAACCTTTTTATGAGTAATTTTCGTGTTAGCTCCACACTTGTTGAGACCTTGCCACCGGAGACGGATATCCGTAGGATAAGGCGAGGTGGGCATTTTTAGGGTCGACCTTTTTCTAACCCCGCCTTTCCTTTATGAGAAAGCAGCATTGCTGTTATACTGGTTGTCTGAAGGAAACACCTTACTGCCATCACACCTCTGTACAGTCAGTTGTACGACTTTGGCCTCGGACATTGATTTTGCTGCTTTTAGTCTTATCGCTATTCAACGAACCTGTCTGGCATGGTAAGACCCTGAGGAATGATTGTTCCGACCAGTATAGCCTGATCGGTTCATCACGGTAGGCAAGCCCGACCACCACGTTAAGGTAGCAGCAACGGTCAGGCATATGATTGTAGAATTAACTATGGATGGAATAAACTTGATAGTATGATAGAACTTGACAAACAATTATATTTATGTTACCCTACACCAGAATAGAAACATTTACACATGAAAGTTGGAGTGAAACAAAACTCACTATGAAGCTGGGTGGGTATAACCAAATTCATGATCTTTGTTTGGGTCATCAAATGATGATATTATCGAGGTTGTTATTTTTTCTCCTGCTTCATTACTGTTTCCTGATGTTGTTGCACTATCTGGATAAACACTTTCATTTAAACCCAAAGCATTAGCACACCCCGCAGCTGTTCTAGACGACCGTACAAATTCAGCCCATGAATAACCTTCACCATGGCTACTGTCACTAGTAACTAACCACTTCGAAAATTCTTCATCTGTTAAAAATGGAAATCTAACAAAATAACGTGTTCTTGAATGAACTTTTGTCTGATGTAAAAAAGAGGGAAAAAATTCCAAGAGAAATCATAGTGAGTTAGGAATTCAGAATTATTTTCATTCAGAAAAGAAATAATGAATAATTTGAAATCAATTGATAAAAATAGAGGCTTTACATAGTGATCAATCGATTCCAATACTATTGGAATTTATTAAACTATTGGTGGAGTTAGATTCTCTGAGCTAGACGGTTAAAATGGAATTTTTTCATTGTCATTCTGAACAACAATATCAGAGCCTACTAATTCATGTAGATGTAAGTTTATTCAATCACTTCGCAAGTGCCAAATCATTCTGTTCTGATAACCTGATTTGGTTATATTCATTAATCCTTGAAATCTCGTTTTATGTTTTGTTCAAACGACCTATGATTACATTAGTGATTTACTGATGTATATTGGTAAATTGGGTCAATACTGTCAAGCCTATTGATCGTATATTAACCTGAATCCTCTGATGATTTATTATGTAGGAAACAGTCAATCAATCTAGTAGCATACTACTAAGTTAATGTCATTTTCTTATATATATCTCCCATATTATGAAGAATGTAACATTTGTTCAAAGATTAATGCACCATATGACTAAATTTCAAAAGAAAAAAATGTGTTAGGTCCTTCCTTTTTTAAAAGTGGCAAAAACGAACATTTGACCCTGCACAAATGTACTAAAATTAACTGAGCTACCTAAGAAAAAAAATAACTAATAATAAAACATAAACAGTAAATATGAGTATTTATTAGTAGTATGAATTACTAGTAGTCGGAAAAATTTTGAAAAGAAAAACTGTTACGAGATTGTGAAAAGATGACGACAAAATTCTCAAATACAAAATCTAAAAAATGTATCAGTAAAATAGAAGACAAATTGTGTTGAAAAAAGGATGAAAATAGAGCTGAAATCAATAACGTTAAAAAAATACCTCACACAACTACACACTGAAAAAAGTTCAATATGAACAATCGAGAACCATTTGAAAGGGGAAAATGTTATCAGTAAAGTGAGGTTGTGTTTAGCAGTGGAATTTAGGACACATGGTATATGCGTGTGCTGTATGGTCCCATTAAACATTTTGTTTAAAGTCGTATTTAGTGATAATACTTACGGCCTTTTAAATAACTATTGACAAAACAATCAAAACTTCCCAGTAATAACTTATACCAAATAAGTAGTGAATCCAAAGACTCCTTCATATCCAATCCACAATTCCCAGAGATTTCAGAAAATGTGACGATTATAGACTGGATTTAAGTCCGTCTGTAACTCTTCTACGGTTACTGCCGATCCGAAGTTCGGGTACAGGAGGGCAGGGCATAGAGTTAGCAACCCCATCCCGTAGAAAACAGCCTTGCCAAAAATACGCTAAGTAAGTAAGTAAGTAAGTAAAAATACGCTAACCAGAATAAATAAATTAAACCTGGGAATTGAAGCAAGAATTATAACAACTCATGATGAAAGACGAGATTTTTCGGAAGTCACGAGGTTGATGCCCCCTCTAACAGCCAGAGTAACAATTATGACATGGAACGTCCGGACAAATGTGGGAGACCGGGAGGAGTAATCAAATAGTTACGGAAATGAGGAGATAAAACTTGATAGTGATCGGATTCGGTGAAACCCATTAGACCCATGCTGGATAGAATAGGATAGATTTGGGAGAGATGTTGCCGTACTCTGGTCATGAAGAAGAAAATGCCCCACATACTCAAGGGGTTACTCTGATGCTATCCAAAGAAACACGAAAACCACTTCTAAGATGAAAATCCCATGGAGCCAGAATCGTCAAAACATTCTTGAAAACAAAGAAGGAGGAGATCAGAATGAATGTTATCCAGTGCTATTGCACCCACCAATGATAGCAATGGGGACCATAAAGACCAGTTTTATGAGAGGTTGCAATCGATCATAGCGTAGTGATCAGGAAAGGACCTGACCATCCTGATAGGAGACCTAATTCATTCGACGCACTACACTGCAAAGCCGTTCATAAAGGACAGCTGACGGGTGTATTCCAAGTGAAAAAGGTGGAAACTTTCATATATCTAAGCAGGACCATCGATAAAAAATTAGGATCTGCTGAAGATGTGAAGGCAATGATTGTCAAAGCAAGGGAATCATTTCTACACCCGAAGAAAATATGGAACTCAAAACAACTGTCAGCCAACATCAAAGTCACAATCTTCAATACGAATGTTAAAACAGTTTTACTATATCGACATGAAAGTTGGAGAACTATTACAACCATCATCAAAAAAGTATAAGTATTTCTAAACTGTCCACGCAAGATACTCAATGTTCGTTGGCCGGATACAATAACGAACAACCTACTGTGGGAAAGAAAAGAACCAAAGTCCTGTTGAAGAGCAAATTAAGAAAAGACGTTGAGCATGGATAGTACAGACATTTCAGAAATCATCAAACTGCATCACAAGACAAGTGCTAACTTGGGATCCTGAATGGAAACGAAAAAGAGGAAGACCAAAGAACAAACTGCCCCGGGAGTTGGAAGCGGACATCAAAAGAGTGAAAAACAACTGGAAAGGATTGCCCAGGACAGAGTTGGATGAAGAATGCTGGTGGGTGGCCCATGCTCCTCCATGAAGGGTAACAGACGTAAGTAAGAAGTTGAAAACGTAAACCACTAGGTCCCGACCACAAAATTATGGAAGTAAACTAATGCCACCAGACCTGAGAGTCCAAGTTTCAATCCCTGGTGGAGTTGTCAGTGCTAGTATTCACTAGTTTACAATGACCTTTGAAAACATCCACATAGATTTCAGGACTGTTACATTTTAATCCCAGTATTTCGCTTGCACAGTTAAAATACTTGATGTTCTGCTTAAACACATTGCCATAATTTTATCATAATAACCGTTTGCTTGAAATGCTAAAACTAGACTTTGATATCATGTTAAGCTACAATTTAACATAGCCATTAAAAGTAGCAGAACTTATGTACGACAAAGCGATTCAGACTAAATAGAAGAATGAGCAGTTACTATTCACACAAACAAGATGTTTTACGGGAGAATAACTAAATGTAACTCAGTAACCACATAAATCCTACTATAGAAGACTTTAAGCATAATCCAAGATCCCATATATTAAGCAGAGTTGAATAGTGGCTATCAGTGGAATTCAGGACGCGCATTTCGTCTTATTTGGTACTCGTCACTTGGATGTACCTACACCATAGTGTTGAAGTCCACATCACAGCACAAGACACCCAGATGACATGTACCAAACAGGAAGTAATGAGCGTCCTGGATTCCACTGCTACTCACTATTCAACTTTGCTTAAAATGCTTTTGACTTCACGGCAATATCAAGGCACATATTCAATAGCAGTACAAAACATTGATGGGAAGCTTCAAATAACTAATAAAAATGAATCATGCACATATGTATACATATTTATATGATTAAATCTTCTAAAAACCGATTCTAGTCATTATTTATACACAAATCTTACATACAGTAAGTACCTTGGGAATAGCCACTATTGATCTCTAGTAAGATGAAACTACAAAATCACTTTGTTTTTCATGTTTTCATTGTATTGTATAAGCTAAATATTGCTTCTCCAACTCTCTCTTGTTTTCTTTCTATTGTTTCTCTATTGTTACTTACTTACCCATAACCATACTATAATAATAATAATAATAATAATAATAATAATAATAATAATAATAATAACCAGAAACAACGAACAGCTGCGAAAACTGGCTCATATTCGAATTTTGTTTGTTAGTCCTACTTTTTTTCAATATTGATTGTTCACTTAACGGTCAGTAGGAGGAAGAAACCTAAGAGAAGAACGGAATAGAGAAAAAGGGAGACAAACAAAAGGCAACCCCTCTATGGATATACTTCTCTCTTCAATGATGTATATATCCTCTATTTGGAATCGCTTTATTCTGAGCAAAAAAATCAAAACACACAGATACACTCAAAATGGAGAGTTGGAGAGACACAAAGAAAGAGATGGGTATATCAAAACAAATAATGAAATATAAACAATGATCTAAGTAATGCGATAACTAATTAAGGCAAGTGAAAAACAGCAACAGATGATTAAGTACGAATAATTCACTTGACAGTAGAAGTTGTTCATTATCAACGTAAAGACTGGCAGCGATGTGTACTGGCCCAAGTTATCATACCATATTAGAACAACGAGGTAAAAATAGCGAGATGTATAGTATAAGGAATGTAGTAACAGTGATAATCTGAAAGATTGAACATTGAGAATATGGTTCGAAAGAACAAAGAGAAAAGATATGGTATGATGGAATACTGGAAATGAAGATCGAGAGGAATATAAAGAGTGGACGCATCTGAGCCATTGTAAACGATTTTAGGCCATTTCACTTAGAGCTAAAAGTCACTGTTTATGGACCTCAACCAACTGGTCTTTATCCATCTACATAACTCAGTTCAAGTCATTGGATTTATGTACTGATATCATACCTTGATTTGACCACTACTAGCTTCCTTTCAACATATATCTACACTAGTAAACATCATCCGTTGTGGTAGGCAGTGGTTACGCTTAACTCTACAACCTTTTTTTAACATCTAACAATACAAAGAAAATAGTTAAAGTATGATATAAAGTGAATACTTACTACTGATTGGAAGATTGACTGGGGTTAATATACGATAAATTGTTTTAATAAGCTTATTTTTGAGCCAAGCAAAACAAACACTGTAAGTATCGAGGGAAATCATTAAGATGCACTTCATATCCATTAAATTCTTTCGTAAATGTAACAAATTTATAGATAAGATATTGTTTTATAGAATGTACTGAAATAAGCAATGTGTACATTCATTTAATAGTAATAAACAATCAGAAATATTCCTATCTGAAGTATATGACGACAACACCACCCGAAATGACAATGAAAGCTTTGCAAATAAGCCATCCAACACAATGGATACAACATCATCAAAGGAATCTAGCTGAACGACAAATCTTCACCAACATTTCACAATCATAAACACTGTTGATAATAATAAAAGTATGAGTTATATCAGAAAATGATAAGTAAAATTTTTCAACATAATCATCTTCAGGGAACATGTCCAAATCGTCATGTAGATGGAATAATGATGAAGTATATCACTGTTTTATTCCTATTTTAATCTGGATATTCACATCAATACAAACACACTCGTACGTCAATAAACTGAAGACAGAAATGTGAATAACGCGAGCTGTCATGACAAAACTTACAGGATTAAAGATCGTACATATCATACAGTTAGTTATTTCTTTTTTGATAAAATGCATATATGTATGTGTTCCCATTTACAATATCCAGTAAAGTGATTGTGATTGAAAAAAAGTGAAATGATAACTTCCCAATCAATTTGTACACTAAAAACAATATATCCACTAGCTCCACAACAGTATTTTTTTCATTATTATTTATTTATTTATTCATTTCAACACATAGATATTGGTACAAAGAGGCACCAAATACATATGCGCCACACAAACCTCATTAGAAATTTTTTTCATACAGTTAGTGAACTTTGGAAATCCTTCCTTTCTTAAACTCTCACTAGTACAGAATAGACACAAATATGACGAAAATTTGTAGCTAAGCTGGGTGCTTTTGGTAGTGTTAAGTTTTCCGAGCTTCTATGATAACTAATAATTTCAGAAAAAGTCTACAATATGGAATATATGGAGAAAAGTACCATAAAACTATTGTATCCTGGATTTCACTTTCATAATATATCACTTAATTCGCTAAGCAATAAGTACTAATGTTCTATAGTTTCTTTATTCACTTCTTCAAAACGATGGTAACTTAAATAATAACGGTAATAATCATGACAATAGTAATGATGATAATACTGTTAATAAACGAAGGCGAAACAAAACTTTAAAAAAAATATGTGCAAATTGATATTACTAAGGACTTAGGAAGTCAATGATGAAAATAAACAACGTCAGTAATAGAGTACTAGATAAAAATGGAAAACTGATTGATGAGGTAGTAAGTTTTCATCAACTGAAGTGGTTCAAACATGTGTTACCTATGCCCAACCACCGCCTACCTCGATGGGCGATGTTGTCTGGTGTAAGAGTAAGTTGCCAAAAAGCTAGGGATGATCAAACCAAGAAAGCAAAAGTTTAATCGACTTATTTAACTAAAATGAACAATGGTTACTACTTGTCTTTTCAAATATTTATATGTTTTCGTGTCAATTTTTTTATATTGATAAGTTTCTGTTAATGTTATAAATGATTTGAAAGAATGTGTCAATATTACTTGTATATTCATAGGATTGATAAAAGGGTATAAATTGTATACATAACATTCAGGTTGCGTCTACTTTCCATAGGATAAACAAAATACATATATTCATAAATTACTGAATACGAATGAATGACAAAACTGTCATCATCACCATCGTTCAACAAAAAACAACTATAAATAATGATAACATAGATTACGTGATATTGTCTGAAACGGATATGAACTTGAGAAGTACGATAATTTTGAAATTCTAGATCAAAGTAACTTAAGCACCAATGTATTTAAGTTGCCGTTATTGTGGTGCGCGCTACTGCTTGTGACAGATATACGTAGTATGTATCACCAGTCGAAAGTGGAATACATGGAAGCAGAAGGTTAAGAAGATAAAATAAAAGAGAAAGAGAACAGAGAGTGATTGGTGTGGAAGCAAAGGAACAGCCAAGTCTGAGACAATTGGCTGACATTTTGCAAATAAAATATTTCCTGTATGGTTCTTGGATTTCACTAAAAGATTCTGTAATTTTGTATTCAACTACGTTTCATTGTACACACTGGTGTTCTCGTTCACTGCACTGTCAACAAATTTGTCAGTATCAACCTTATCTATCAACATCATCGGACACGATATCAATCAATAATACGGTAAAAACTTAAACTGATAAAAGTCAACGAAAATGCAATGATACATGAATAGCAACAACAGATTAATTAACACTTGCAAGATGCTATTTAAATATTGGCTTTTGTTCAAAATAAACTCTGATACTGAAATTCACAATAAACATGAGCATTTTGCAGTAAAACTATTATTATACTACTTTTAAATAATTATGTAACATCTCTTAACATTGAAATTTATTACAAAAATAAGTGGACGTACATCAAATCCTTCTTTATTACGTAGAATACGACGATGAAGATCTGCTAGTTCTACTTTAAAAGGTCTTATTTTAAACCACCATTTTACTAATAAATATATAGGACCTGGCAGTTTAGCTTCCAGTTCTTCCACATATCGTACATTCATTAAACGACTAAATAAACGACGAGATCTAGTAGTATATAATGCATTTGACTGTGTATGTAGAGAAACACCATGTCTGGCTGTTAAGGAAATTGGAAGAATAGTCAATCGCGTAGTTAACAAATTTTTCATTTTGTAAAATAACAGTAATACCTAAAAGAAATAAAGTAGTCAAGGTCATAATGAATAACTTCTAAATGAGGAAAGACTTCATTTCCTTAAAATAGTGAAATTGCTCGAAGCAAAATATATAACAAGTGAAAAGGGAAAATAAGTTTATTATAACATCAGTGTACTGTATTGTATGAGAAAAATATTACGAATAACACACATCTTTAGTATGTAAAGAGACTGTTAACAGAACAATTAGGTGTTGGATTGAATAATTCATTATATAATAGGACAATAAATTAAATAGTAGCAAAAATTATGAACAAAGCTACTTGGGTCTATTAAGTTGTATAGTGAAAATATGAAAAGTATAAAATGTGAATATTTACAAACGCATTACTCTATGAATAACTCAGTTACATCAACGAATCTAAGGATTTTGTACACCGAATGAACCTATCTATATTTTCTACGATTTCTAACGGTCAGTGTAGTGAGTAGACGTAATGAAGGTCATGAAAACAGAGAGAATTCATAATCTCACCAGCAGTGCTCCGTAATTTTATATTATTTATTGTGATATAACCATATACGAGCAATGATAAAATCCAGAGCCTGAATAAGATATTAAGCGATCGAAATAATATTAATGTCGACTTTATATACACCAGCTCTGTTCTTTAGTATTTCATCATCTTTTTTATAAAGTCAACTACCAAATAACTAGCACTATTCAAGTCAATACTTATCAACTTGATAGACCAATGGCATAGTGTGGTGTATATATTTTGTGGATTACACTACTTTGCTTTGATTTCAGCCAATAATTGTCAAAAGAAACAATGGCATGTTATGTACAAAATACCTCAGCTTATGATGTTGATCTAGATACCTATCTACCTAAACTAAATTTATCATATAAAAAAAGATTCTAAACACCATAGATAACATTTTAAAAAATCATGAAAAACCCAATCTATATTCATAATTAGAAAGTAATACTGAAGTTCTTGGATCAAAATAAATAAAACTTTTCGAGTGCACCAAGAACTGAAGTTGATAGTTTAGCTTGTGTTAATACACCTTTATTGTGATGAATATAAGAGTATGGTACTATTGGCTTTATCCATATCTATTTTGTCTGAGTCAACTTTCACGATATTACATGAAATCGATCCATTTAACTCCATATATGTTATTCTTTGTCTTAACGTCATTTTTCTAATTATTCATTAATGTGGGAAATTATAAATGTAAAGTCATTACAAAGTTGCATGTCATGGTTAGCATTTTTGCAAAGATCCGTATAAATCAACATCTTATTATATCCTTACAATGTAAGTAGTTATCCCAATTCTAATGAAAAATATAAAAACTAAATAAAACCTCTTCTATTAGCTTTTAGAAATTGATCAGACTTTTATTATAACAGTTAAGCAACTCAACAGACTGGACGAGACCTGAATTTTTCCAACAGCTTGCTTTTTCCATTATTATTGTGAATCATAATAATGATTTCATACTTTCGTGATATTTTCACATTACGATCAACATGGATAAAGATTCTCAAGAAGTAAACTCAATTTTTTTAACCGTCCTTCATATCTCAGTATAACTAATTTTCTTAGAATAGTTGATGGAGATAAATGAAGTATAGTTTGTTTGTAACACAGTTGGAAAGTATCGGACATACAGTAATCAGTCTAAGCATAGTTTCTTACAAGTCTGTTTTATTAGTCCGATGAAAACATTTGAAATATCACGTTTTAATGGTGAGAAAATCTCTTCCATAGGAAAGTTGACAAATTCAGTATGCACCTGACGCCTTATGTATAACTTATGGTCAACTTATCATGATAATCGCTTTGTGAAATGCCTTCAGTGCACAGCTATCCAACCTGAAAAAATTAGGTTGCCGTTCAAATACATGTTGGAAACTGTAAATATTGATATACATGCTCTACTATGTTAGATTGAATATTTTAACACCCCAACGTTACCTACATACAGAAAAAGACAATCGTGACCTGTCAAAAAACTGCGCCGAGGAAAACTTAGAATTCATGAATATTTAGGACTGTCCATGAAGACAATATTGTGCCCGCCAAGTGGATAACGCAGTTCGGGGAGGGCTATGACAACTACGAGAATCATGCAATACCAAGACAACTATCAACATCCTTTGTTAGTAAAACACGAATGGAATGCTGTCTTCCATGCGTTTCGGATCATTACTGATGAAACAAATCTTGGAAAAGTCTATCCAGACTGTACTAATAGAATATTTAAAGATCAGGAATGATGAGATCCCCAAAAAGTGAAACTTCCGAGGAGTAACAGAGATTTTTCGAACAATGGGAATTGGAATGAGATAAGTGTATTATTACAAAAAGGAATTATTGAGAAAGAATAAGATTGCCACACCCTAAATTTTTTAAAAATTAATTGTACGACAGTCTACTACAGTCCTTAGTTGATTTATTGTATGTGAATCAAACTAGGTTTGTTTGCTTAGATCCTATCAAATAATTTGTAGTACCCAATCAATTTAGTTTGATTTTTTACATAAAAGGAATTGTTCAGTACAAAACTATGTATTGACATGTATACGTCAGTTGCTGTGAAGACTAAATTACCTAATTTTTCATTAATAAACTATAGCTCCTACAGATAAAAGCAATTATGATGACATTTTTCCATTCGATATTTTCGCGAACACCTTTGTTGTTATTTGATAGGTTGTTCTTGATAAATCTTCTGACTGAACGTTTGAATCGGTTTTCCAAGCTTTTCTAATAATTCCAGGCTAACTCCACACTACAAATTAAACACGGGAGAAAAGGCGCGTAATACGGGAAGAACGCTTTACTCCGATGTTAGCTTATGTACAGAAAATCGAGTGTATTTATAACATATCAGATTGTCTTGGACTTCTGGAAAGTTCTAGAACCCTACTAAACATAGTAGCAGGGTAAACAATAATCTAATCAGAAATGTAACACGTGACTCTTAATTTTCTAGATGTTTCTGAGAAGCTTCTAATAAATGCTGATTGAATAAAATGTTTCCCAGCATTTTCAGGACACATGTGGGTTATTTTCGAGGAATTTTCTGGGTCTCCCCAACAGTTCTTGCGTTTAGCCTGTTAAATTTACTATGCTCCAAAATCATTGCAAATTATTCGATATGCTGACTAATTCCATTAGAAACTTGATTTCTTGAACAACAAGCTTCTTTTTTGTCTGCCTAACTTCCCTCTGTTTTCTATTGCATTGAGGATTATTGTTGAAGAGTTATGCATGTTAATTATCTAATCTATCAAGTTTACATAAATTCAGTGTATTATATTAGGAAAATATCTTAATCGTTAATAATCAGGAATTAGAGTAGGTGATCGTAAAGCATAACATTAACTCGCATTTAACAATCGAATGAAAAAAAATAAAAGCAGTAGCAACCAAACACATTATGAAATTATTGATTATCAGAAATGAACTAACAATCGCATAATTTTATTTGTTAATCACCAACACGAGAGAGAAAAAAACACGGATTTTAATAATACAAGATGCTAATCACTAGCATTTATAGTTTTATTAACACTTCATCTTGATTGTCAGCGAGAAATATTCATTGTAAAAATACATGAATCGAAAAGATAAGAGCAGAAGGGAGACAGAAAGAATAACAATGGTAAAAACCTCGAATAAAAAAAAGTAGATAAGCGCACTGAATCGTATCAACAACCACATACACGTAAGAACATAAAATATACGAGAAAGAAAAGCCAAAAAGAAAAAGTCAATGTGATTGATTACCACACAGAAACAAATAACAGACTTGACAATATAAGTTATTAGCACCAGCATTTAAAATAACACAAACAACTCTGTTAAAAGAGAACTACAAGACAACAATAACCAAGATTTAAAAAACAACTTCAAGTATAGTAAGTGAATAAATAAAACAGTTAATGACAAACTGATGAACACTTTTCCCTTTGAAGATCTCTAATTTACGAAAATCAAGGAAAACTCCGAAAAAAAGATAATTTTGTACAGAAAATATGATAACAACAATAACTAATTATATGCAATTCAAAATTATCCTCAGCTTAGAGTACACATTCATGAAGATAGTTTCTCCGCTCAACAAACGAAAAAACCAAAACATTCAATACGAATCTACGATGACACTGATGTTGTTACTTCAAAATGGTCAATTATTAGAGAAGACAAAACCGAAACAAGAAAGAAATAAAATAAAGTTGAGTGTTTCATTTTTTTCGAAAAAAAAAACAGGAAAGAAGAAGCTACACACCTATACATGAATGAACGAAGAGTTAGTCATAATGACACTTTTCGAAAATCTACAAGAATCATCATGTCAAATGAAAAATGAGAAAACAGAAGTTATCCATAAACAAATAAAAATAATCAATTGCATTTTTGAAGTTTAAAAAAATTTGATAGCAGAAGTACAATGAAACCCGTGCACACACATTAAAACATTATTAAAGTTTATATATACGCCATACATAAGTAGATATACACAAACAGATACTAATAATGGGAAGAAGTAAACAAGAAAAAAAGAACAATGAGCACTAATTATCTATTTTCTTGTTTAATCAATTAATTTTGGCATGAAATTTCGCAGTGTCATTTTGAGTAATTTCCGAAAATAAACAAACTGAATTTGAATAGTCGCACTACAAGGAGAGAGAGGGAGAAGGTAATATAGGATTCTATAAAAGAAATTATACAAATACTATGATTAAAGCTTTATGTATACACATACACAAATACACAAACGAAGTCTAATTAGCGACCATTCAGTCATGAAGAAAGTGTATTCGACGATATATGAAAACTGAATAGTGGAATTCCGCAATAATCTTGATATGATACTAAAAAATTTAAAGAAAAAAATCAGTAGGCATTATTCAGATTAGAAACAAAGAAAAATTTAAAATGTATAACAAATTATTTATTGAAAAGAAGAATTATCATTACACTAAC